TCTCTCTTTCCAAAAGCCTTCTTTTGTGTGCCTTGCTGAGGCCTAATGAAAAGCTCTATTGTGAAGCCTTTTTACTAACACTCTTCACAATTCTGGCTGCGAGAGGAATGTGGATAAAAGGCACAAGCAATTAAGGCGGAAACCTCATCCTTTTTCATGATGTATTTAGGGAAATGGGAGGGGGGTGTGGGGGTGTGGAAGTGCACATTGATCAGAGGGGAGCTAAGCTTCCAAACCCCCCCCCAAACAAAAAACCAACATGGAGGAGGAAAAGAAAGGCAAGGAAAACAAGTACAACCTTGATAAGATCGGGGCGTCATGAGGGAGTTGGGGGAGGGGGGGGGGATTGTGTTGACGGCCTTGTCCAGAGTGGGAATTTAACTCAACGGAACTTGCTGTGAGGGAAGCAGGGGGCTCTAAGGCCTAACCTTTCTAACGTTTCACAGACACCCCGCCGATTCTCATCCCTCAGATCACTTCCTGAGCCCGCCTCTCCACTTCCAGTTGGATCCCACGGATCCATTCTACCAATTGCGGTGCTTTTTCCTGATGCGTTTCCTAGGCAGGATCCAATCCATCACCTAGTCACAAAGGTCCTTTTCTTCCCACGGTGTGATTAATTTAATCTACAATCTGTACTATGCTGGCTCTACTTAAAGGAGCCGAGTTGTAGGGGTAGGGTTGCCAGCTCTAAGTTGGGAAATACTTGGAGATCTTGGGGGTGGAGCCAAGGCTGGCCTGTCATAGACAATTTTTACAAAAAAATCTGGTCACACACGACTAAAACAGATAAACAAATATAAGGTCAACAGTCGTGTTAGTCTGACCCGCAATCAACAGTCATACGACTTATAAGAATTGCTGTACATGTATTGTGCTCTGAAGCATTACAATATGATACACAACTTAATAGAATATAAACCAAGGTACAACGTCGTCTCCGGATTATTTACCAACGTTTCAAAAAATGAATCTTCTTCAGGAAATTTATAGAGGTGCCAAAGCTCTAACTTTCATAAAAGCTAGACAACAAGTCTTAAGCATATCACGATTCAGTAGGACGCTGATCTCAATTAACACACTGTGTTTTTTTTCTGGATCCAATTTTTAGGCAGTGGCCTAGAGCGGCCCCTTAAGAGAGGGCACCCCGCTGGCCTGCCGGCCTGCCCCTCCCTTGCCTAAACAGGGTAGTAAATCGTGGGCCACCGCCCACCTTTCCGGGAGGGCGACCCGCTTGCCCAAGGGGAGCTGAAGGTGCCGTGGGGAGCAGCCTGGCGCCGGCCCACGATTGCACGCTGCCCTCTAGCCACCGTGGAGCCTGAGGAGGTCAAGGTTTAGGAAGAATCGGGACTTCAGTGGGGTATAGTGCCATAGAGTCCACCTTCCAGAGCGGCTATTTTCTCTAGATGAACCAATTGCTGTATCCTGGAGTTCAGTTGAAATAGCAGGAGATCTCCAGCCACTACCTGGAGGTTGATAACCCTAAGCAGGTGATATGTTTGAGGCGACGTTCCCCTGCTTTGTTGCTTGCTTTGGCTGTCCATCTGCTATAGTACCATCATAACATCCACGGACCCTCCTGAAGTACAACCTCTCCCAAGAGAAGACGCACCAAGTTGTGTCAAACCATGCACTGCCATCTGACTGATTAGATCTAAGTCATCGTTATAAACTGTTGCTGTAAACTGGGTTTAAATGATTAATTTATTATTCGCTGTTGTAGATTTTCTGGGTTGTGTGGCCGTGGTCTTGACACTGTAGGACCTAGGGTTGCCAAATGTCTCTTACCTCCTTGGCGGGGGACCCCAGGCTTGGGAGATTTTGAGGGTGGAGCCTGAGGAGGGCGAGTTTTGGGGAGGGGAAGGACTTCAGTGGTGTATAATGTCCTAGAGTCCACCTGGGGCATAATGCCACAGAGTCCACCCTCCAAAGCAGCCATTTTCTCCAGATGAACTGATCTCTGTTGCCTGGAGATCACTTGTAATCCCAGGAGATCTCCAGCCACCACCTGACGCCTGGCAACCATAACAACAAAGCTGGTCTTTGGATCTTGCCGATCTAGCTCCCTTAGGGTTGCCAGGTCCCTACCTTTTGCCAGCAGGGGGGGCAAGCTTCTGTCCTGGGATCTTCTGGCGCACGCGCATAGCACGCATGCCACGATGACGTCACCCGGAAGTTATGTCGTCGTGCTAGGTACGTCTCCAGAGATACACTCTAGCATTTGGCTAGAAACTCTATGATACCATAGAGTTGTCAGGTCAAATGCTAGAGCATCCCTCCGGTGACACATCCAGTTTGATGACGGCACTTCCGGCCGGATCCGGGTCGGTGGATCGGGGGGCCCTAAAGCGGGCAAACCCCCACCCCCCAGGGGGATCTGGCAACCTTAAGCTCCCTCCTTCCTTGCTCTCTGATCTCCCTTGCTACTTTCCCCACCGAAAATCATGAAACAAATTCTTAAAAGACTGGAGTTTGCGGTTAGCAGAGATGTTCCGTGCCTTATATAAATCCCCATGCTCTCCAAACAACAAAGAAAAACGTTTAATAAACTTTCCACTCCATTAATGAAGATCACTGGAGCATTTGTGCGTGGCCCAATGATGTGCTAACAGAAATTATTAGCCCAGCGAAACCTCCGGAAACGAGTCTTAGAACGCCACAGACTCATTAGGAAGGCACAATGTGAGATCATGGTATATTTGATCAAATGGGCACACAATACGCTTCCCTTCAGGACTCTGCTTTGTTTCTTCCCTAGCTAATGGGGGGGAAAGGATCGTTTCTTAAAGGCCTCATCCCGACCATACGTTGCATCATTGGCTATTTGTCAATGCAAAGTCTTTGTGAAGAAAGAACACTACAAGATGCAGGAGGATAACACCTCGTTAAATGGGTCCGATGCTCTGCTTGCATTCAAAACCCCTGATGATTCAGTTCTTCTGTAAAACGTTCGAGTCTAGTGATGCCTTCAAGACCAACAAAGGTTTTTTTCAAGGTATAAGCTTTCATGTCCGCTCACGGTTCTTCAAATACTGAAGAAGCATGCATGCAGACGAAAGCTTATACCATGAATAAAACTTTGTTGGCCTTAAGAACATAAGAACACAAGAGCAGCCAATGTTGGATCAGGCCAATGGCCCATCCAGTCCAACACTCTGTGTCACACAGTGGCCAGAAATACCAG